CCGACCGTTGGGTAGGTGAACTCGCCCTTGTCCTCTTCGTCGCCTTCCATCGAGGCTCTTCAAGTCAGGGCAGTCGTCGCCAGAGAGATCCGGACCACATGACTTTGTTTTGAACCCGTCCAGAAAAGAAGTGGTAGGAAGTCTATAAGGCAATATACTCTCACAGTGCGAGCAAGACAAGGCAAACTCTCCAGACCAGGAGCCCGGAGCTCTTGTCTCTGGTCGCCTCAGGCGTCAACAGATCGCCTTGCTCAATGGCAAAGTGGCCGGCCTTTTGTCTTCTCAGCCTCAGCCGCCCAGGGCTTGACTCCCACTGCGGAAAGAAGGCCTGAGCTTCTTTGTTGTCGCCAAAGGCGTCAACCATTTGCCTCTCTCGATATGAGAAGGCCCAACCTTCTGTCCCTGTGATCGCATCGTCTCCTGTAATAGCAACACGTCCGAGCTCCCATCTTGGTTGTCACCTCAGGCTTGACAGTCCACCATTTGCAAGGAGGTCCGAGCTCCTGGCTGTGTACTCACCTCAGGCGGCAACAGGCTGCCATCTGCAAGCAGGCGTGCGTTTCCATCTATTCAACGATAACAACGATAAGTGTAATAGACTGAAGTGCCAAACCTCCCTGAGCACCCTGTGAGGGGTACCTTGTGCCCCAGGCGGAAGGCCCTATTGCCCAACAGAGCTAAAGAAACAATACACGGGACTGGCAAGGACTGCATGGCCAGCATCGAGGATGGACAATGACAGGTTAATGGCATGCCACAAGTCAAGTCGTTTCATTGATGGATAGAGAGAAACGGCATCTAAGAGAAAGAGTAGTCCCTTCGTGAGCAACTGACCCCCTGGAGATTATGTGGCGCACTGCCGGTGAGTTCTATACTCTGCGCACAGACGATTCAGAACATGTGAGTAACAGAAAGGTACCTATCTCTGGCAGTAACACAGTTGTAGACGATAGCGGACACAGTTCAGGTAACAAGAGACAATCCACAGCATGGCAACATGATCAATAAGCCCTAGACACAGCGCGGCTAGCCACTGGGGAAAAGACTATCGCATGAGGCACACCCACTCATACAAAGCTTGGGTATGTTCAATGATGAAAGAGGAGAGAGTAATGTACAAAAGCCGGCTGCACAATAGATCCACAACGGTAATGCAAGCGGACGCCTATTTCTTAGGTATCTCGTCAAGCATCTTCAATATCGCCGATTCGTTATCGCCCACCGCAGCCCTTCCATTGTTCCAGTCCACAACCTGCGAGATCATTAGCATCGGACAAATTTCCAGTTTACTCAACCCCCAGACACAGGGGGCCGGTCATATCTCAAAGATATCTCCCAGTCCCTCCCTGCAATCCGGGAATGATGTGTAGAGGTAGGTAACATACCACAGGCCTCTTAAAGCTCTCAGCATCCTGCTTGAACTTCTGCATCGCCTCGTCCACCGAGCTCGTGCCCGGGATGACGACGCCCGGGTTGCCGACGTAGTCGAGGATGGTCATGAGCTGGTCGGGCGTGGGCGGCTTCTCGGTGACGTCGAGGTCGAACTCGGCGCGCTTGGGGTGCGTCTGGGCGGTGTGGTCGCTGGCCTGGTCCTCCGTCGCGGACTCGCTGGCGTTGGCGGACACCTGCTTGAGCAGGGTGAGCACTTTGGTCGAGGACGGGGTGCTGGACTTGTGGAAGAGGGTGATGATGTCCTTTGTTTTGCGCTGGGGACAAAGGGGGTGAGGTTAGTTTGATGTCCATTGGGTGGTAGGAGGTTGAGAAGGATGGAACTTACGAAGCCGAACATGGTTGCGGTTTGGAGGTATCAATTGGGAGAGACTGTGGTGGTTGGTATCGTGATGTGATGTTTGCTAGGCTGTGACGTTTGGTGGTGAAGTTGTGTGATTCCACGCTTGACGTCGGTTGGAGCTTGCTTGGCCCGGGTTGGCGGAAAGGAGCTTGGGCCATGTGGCTCGGTTAAGTCTAGTGCGGCTTGGGCGCAGCTGGAATTCTGCGCTAGCAGTTCAACTGCCCCGCCCCCACTGAGGGAACGTGAAAGTGGGGGATAATGAGATATCTCGTCCGGTCTTGTGGACGCATCATGAGAGGAAACCCAAACACTTAGGACCGCAATTGGGAGAATAGCGGCTGATGAATGAGACATCTTGTCGTACACATCCGGCATACTGTGTGCTTCCTGTTGGAGAAGGTAGGCCCTTGTTGATGTTCGGCGGGGCAGTGGTGAGCTTCGAAGCTCGATGTGACACATTTTATGACGTTAACCTCGTTAAGGTCGACGTGAGAGCAGATTACAGTACATATTACAGTATGAGGGGAACTTCCTCTGAAAGGTCAGAAAGAGGCGACACTGCGCCTGCTCTATATGTTCACCGTGACGTTACAGGTAGCTAATGAAGCTGTTCTCCCATATATCACGGTGAACGTCCTTCGAAGTCAGCCTCTCAACCTACCACACCTTAGTCTCACAGGCACTATATAGCACGCAGAACATATAAATCTACTTCAACCCCGTCCAAGGAACTCCAACACTTGTTACTCATCTGTTACCAACACATCCAGTCACCATGCCCGGGCCCAAGTACTCCGGCTGAGGCTACTCCGGCGAGGATCGCAGAGTCTACGAGGGCGACGACCAGCGGACGACGGCCAACTCGACCCTCGCCGACATGCACCGAACCCACAAGGGCAACTTCCTCGAGGCACAGACTCGCAAACCACGTAAGAGCTGACCTGATCTTGCCTGGCTTGTATGAGGGGTACTGACACCATATCAGGAGAGGCAGACGGAGCTGGTCAACGAGACCATTGAGAAAGATGTGCGATCCTAACACTCAAGACACCCAGCGGCCTGATATCGACGCTAACATGACAACAGCAACAAGCGTCTGGAGAGTTCACACAAGCCGCAATGGCCCAGCGGGATCCCACCGCACCCGTATGCTAATTTCCAAGATCCAGACCATCACTTGATGAGGCTTGCATCCTGACTGGGACTCACAGGCCATACACCACGGTAATGAACCATCACGGGGAGCCAAAATCGATAAGGAGCTGCAGGAGGAGGACGAGGCCATACTGAAGAAGAAGGGAGACGCCATGCCGGGCAAGAAGTACTGAGAGGCGGCCGAGGTCGAATGCAAGAACGAAGAGGACATGTCTAGGTCCCTAGGGGACATAGTCTAGTTTAGCTGGGATAGATTGAAAGCAGTTAGGCTGTGAATGGGAAGAACACTAATGAATGGATCGCACTTGCCAGAAAGACGATTCTCGATCGAGCGGCAAAGAATTGAAGCGATCTGCCTGACGTACCTGAATTGGCTGGTGGTGCCATGACGTCGCTGTGGAGTCTCCTCATAAACGCCATATAAACTGAAGCTGCCCGCATTATGACCACCAATTCCTCAAGAAGACGATTATACCACCACGTTTGCAAACCAAATTGAACCTTTACACCTCAAGAACTACCAATACAACACCGTAAACCCACATACACCTACCAACCAACCCCCACCCACATCCAAAATGTCAGGCAACTCCAACGTAGGAAACAGCGGCGTCTACGAGGCGGGCGACCAGCGCAACGCCCCGGCCTCCGAGTCCAACAACAACAACGCCGAGCGCTTCAACGAGGGCAAGCCCAACTCTCACGTGGCCACAGACAGCAGTAAGCTATCTTCTCCCCCTTCAGTCACTTCGACACAGACAGCTAAAAGGTGCAAAACAGAGGACCAGCGCAGCATCGCCAACCGCCTCGCGGCCGAGGAGCGCAAGGAGGACGAGTCCGAGCAGCAGTCGCTTAGCCAGCGGGATCCCACTGCACCGGTACGTCACAACTGACAAACGCGAGTCATGACAGCTTGGAAGCTTGGGAGCTAACACAAGAAACAGGCAAAGGCACACGGCAACGAGCCCTCGCGCGGAGCAAAGATCGACAAGCAGCTGCAGGAGGAGGACGAGGCGACGCTGAGGAAGATGGATGCCAAGAAAAATTAGGCCTGGTCACCGGGATGGACAATGGTTGATGGCCGAGGCTAGATGAGGATGCGGATGGTCTGGTTGTATGATGTCAGGGCGTGCGAGCGTGCGAGACGAAGGTCGGGATGCCGGTATTGGAATTGACATGACGCCGTGCAAGTCACGAAATGGAACCATGGTATCCAAGTAACAGGATGTGCCATTGCTTGCTACGCTATCCAGTTCCTCTCCTCCTCTTCCTTGTTTCCTTCTCCTTCAGAAGAGGCCATCCTCGGTACTCCTCGACAGCGTCCCTCTTGAAAGTGCTGGTTGTTCCTCGACAACTCGGCCAAAAGAGAGCCTGGGGTCGCGTGGTAAAATCTAGAAGTACTGATCGAGTTAGCTCTCAATCCTCTTCTTTGGTTTCATCCTCCCCATAGATGGATGGACAGCCACAAAGCGTGATGTACAAAATCAGAATATGTAAGAAAATTACTATCACTTGGCCGCCAGATATAGCATCCCCGGCGAGGGAGCCACCTGACGGCATCAATCGCAAATTACTCTCATCATTTTGTTGCTTTGTGTGGCCCAATCCATCATGTGTCTCGAGGGTGGGAGAAAGGGAGAAGTAGAAACATACCTTGTTAGTTTGATCGCAATCGCTTGGTAGTCGAGAAATGAGAGTAAGACAGAGCAGTGCAGCGGCAACAACAGCAAGAGTAAGCTCGGAACTCAATCAAGAGCTGCACAGGTTCAAAGGGTGCGGTAAGCTTCGTTGCCGGTTTGTTTGCTTGCTTGCTTGCTTGCTTGCGTCTGTTGCTTTTGGAAGAGGAAAGGGTGAAGAAATTTGCTGGGCCAGAAAATTGCTTAAATGCCAGGCGGATGAGCCGCTTAGTCACCCTGCTTTTGCGGCAGAAAAGTGCTGGTGCTGTTCACCGCCCGCAACACAGAAATTGTGCAAAAAAGCACACCGTAACAAATCAATATCTCGACAGGATCACAAGATATCCATCCATACGATAAAAGAAGCAAAAGAGAACTGGTCCCATTGGGGGTTGAACCCAAGACCTTCGCATTTACTTGATACAGATCACATCTCGAAAGAGGGAGGTGTATTAGTACGACGCTCTAACCAACTGAGCTATGGGACCGGCTTTGTTGAAGAACAGCGGCGTTATCCGGCGATATATCCCTCAGTGGGACAGCACAGCGGAATCCGAGATGGTCAGAGGGCTGCGGAAAGCTCCGTTGCCTTGTGGTGGCGGTGCGGAGTCATGCAGGATTCCCCCGAGAGGTGCACACACCAAGGGCCACGTTGAGACGGTTGCGCGACTGCACGACGAGACGACGACATGAATCGGCTGACGAGATGGACAACCCGACGGAACCTGCAGATACGAATGACGGACTGGCTGGAGGAATGGCCGAGAGAACTCCAAGAGCAGCTAACCAAACACATAAAACACAGCCAAAAGTGTCACTGACAGAATCGCCAGAACGAGACACAAGCAGCATGTTCAGTTCCAAGTACATGCTTGGTATTCAATCCTCACTCTCTCCTATAATACAATTTCCTCCCATTGCCATCCGCATAGCTCCCCTCTCCTCCCATCCATCCAAACCCCCTTCCAAACCCAACCATATGTTTCTCCGGGTATAAGTCTCCTCACCAAATCTCTCCGTCCAAAAGTCCAAACCGGGGTTTATCTCCTTATTGCTCCCTAGATACCTATTCCATCCCCCTCCTTTAAAATCCTCCCAGGTTCAAAGTAACCGCCCACTTGTGTATAACGTTATGTGTTATTCATAAAATCCATATAAAAAAATGACACCGTATTTCGTCGTAAATTGTTGCTTGTTTGGTATCCCCATTTCCCGTTCTTCTTTTTGAACTTCCAAGAGAAAATGACAGTTGGGAGAAATGCATAAGAGTGAAATAAATAAATAAAAACGCCATGGGCCGGAGTAAGAAACGGGTTTCTTTGCTTCGCGGCTGTTTATGCTGACACCAAAAAAAAGGAAAGAGATGGGTAAGGAAATGGGTTTGTTAGAGAATGTAGCTGGTTCGAGCTCATTAGTCCCTCTCGCGGGAATCGAGAGATGAATGCTGGTTGATGCTGGTGGTATCATTTGACGAAAACAACGCCGAGATTATGCATGGTCGTCGAGATGTTTCCAGAGATGTGTCTGCTTGCTTGCTCGCTCATCCCCAGATAGGCACATTCCGGTACGCAGGCGAGTTATAGCTGTGCAACACCCGGTACGGCGCCTGGACGGAGTACCCGTGGTTCCCCATGCTGCGGTTCCTGTGGTGTCCTCCGCCTCCTCCTCCTCCTCCTCCTCCTCCTCCTCCTCCTCCTCCTCCTCCTCCGCCTCCGCCGCCGCGAGGGACGTAGGGCGGGTACACGCCATACTGGTCCTGCTTGCTAACCACCGGGCGACGGTTGTTGTTGTTGTTGTTGTTGTTCCATCGCGGGTCGATGATGGGTTTCGGTGCCGGAGCCGTGTACCCGTTCGACATGGACGGCGCGAACCCGCGGCTCGGTAGGGAGTGGCTGTACCCGTCGTAGCTGGCGCGGTGACGAAGGGGAGGCTGCCGCTGCCGCTGGCTTTTGTTGATCGGCATCGGTCGGGCTTGAGGGTGGTTGTGGTAGGGTTGCGTGCTGGCGGGACGCTGGATGATGACGTGGTGCTGTTGCTGCCCTTGGTGGCTGCGGCTGGAGGAGAAGGAGTTGCTCCGGCTGTTGTTGCTGCTGCCGTTGCTGCTGCTCATGGAGGACATGCTTGAGCGCCGCGAGAGGCCGTTGGACTGGTGGGGGTCCCAGTTTGGTGCGCGGTAGGGGGGGGACGGCACCGACAACGACGGGTGGGGTTGGGTGCGGAGGGACATTGAGCGGCGGGGGTCCATGCGCGGGATGGGTGGTGGCGAGAGGGCAGCGTCGAGGGTTGGGAGGAGGGGCGGCTGCTGATACGACGGGTAGCTCTGGACGTGGTCGCGGCTGTTCCTCCTCGACAGCGAGGGCTGCTGCGCCGGCGGTCCCGCGGCCGGGTAGCTGTGGATGCTCTCGCGGCTCGACTGCCTCGACAGCGACTGCGCGCTCTGCTGGCGCCTCAACGACCGCAGCGACTTCGGCTTGCGAAGAGACCCGTTCGGCCGTGTCATCATGCTCACGGGAGGCGGCGTCTTCGTCGTCTTGGGCCGGACGGCAATCGGTTCCCGCGGCAGCAGAGGGCTCGGAAGGGCGATGCCCTGGCGGTCGACCAGAGACGAAGCGGAGGGCATCTTCTTGATGATGCCCGGGTGCAGGGTTCGCTCGGCGGGGGAGTTCCAACTCATTGCCCTTGCGCCGACGGACGGTGGTGACAGCATTCCCGGGCTCGTCTCCCCCATTGCCTTCAGCGCGGCGTCGTAAGGGTTGCTGCCCAGACTGTTGCTGATGGCGGAAAAGGAGGTCAGGTCTGCCTCGTCTGGAAGGAGGCCGCTTTCCTTGTTGTTGTGTTTCGTCCAGGGGTTCGCCGCATCTGCTTTAACGGATGGCGCTCGCGGGATGGGAATGGGAATGGGCTTGCGCGCGATCGGCTTGCGAGTGATAATGTGAGAGGCCGCGTGGGCGATGGAGTGCTGGACCGAATGCACGAGGTGCCGAGCGTGCGACTCGTCGTAGTCCTCCACGTCGTCGCTGGGCGCAGGAGAAACTGTTCGGGTGGTCGGGTTCATCGCGTCGAGGCTGATCTCCATGCTGCCCACGCTGAATATCGTCTTCAGCGTGTCCTTGCTCTGCTGTGGCTTCAGCGCCAGTCTCTTCGTCGTCATCGGGAACTGGCCGGCGTGCTCGCGCAGTTTGATCTCGATGTCTTGCGGGATCGACGGAATCACCGTCTTGTCCAGCGCATGTGTCACGTGAACCATCGGCGGGCCGTGGGTTGGGCGACGCGCACCGCTGAGTAGCCTGTGGAGCTTGCTCGGTCTGTTCGAACCGCTTCCAATGCTGAGTGCCGAGGTCGAGGCGTCGGATCGCGCGCTCTTTGGTGTGCGCGGCATCGATTCTGGCGACCTGGGCACGGTCTCGATCGAACGCATGCTGTTGATCGGAGAAGGCGTGTGTCGCGATTTGCCCGAGGAACTCGAAGTGGTTAACCTGGCTTCCCTAAGACCTGTTAGGGCCTTGTTGAAAGCAGAGCCGCCCGACGGCCGGGAAGGAGATTGCGGTGCCATGTCCTTTGGCGGTACCGGGGGAGGAGGCGGCTCTCGTGAGGGTTGAGCTGGCCTCTCCATGGATACTCGGACCGGCGTCTGCGGCTTTTGTTCGGGACTTGCAGCAGTTGGCGAAATTGGCGTGTCCAAAGTCCAGGTCCGTGTGGACTCCTTGTCCGCCAGCTGGGATTTGTTTGCGGTGAAGGAGCGCAACGACACATTGGAACTATACCCCGAGTCTGCTTTGGTCAGGGGCTTGAGAGGGGCTTCCGAAGCCGGGCTGCCGGCCGAGACGAAGCCACTGTCGGTCCTTGATACGGTCCGCAAACTGAGTTGCGTGTCTAGCTTGGTAACGGCAACCTGCGACTTCGCGTTCGGATCGAGCCGGACATCCAAGACCTCGCCCATCGAGTACTCCAGGTTCGCGTCATCGTCAAATAGGTCATCCTCGATGGCGGTGTGTTTCGACGTCGTCTGAAGCTCGGGACTCAATGGTCGGGAGTCGGAAAGTGTGAAAGGGGTGAATGATATCTCCTCGAGGAATTCCTGAGGGATCTCAATAAATTTGGGCGGTGAGTTCTTAACGATCGGGGATGTGGCCCGCGCGGCATCGGCCTCCATGAATGAAGCCGCGATTGGGCTCAGATTCGACGTACGTGGTTGCGGTGCCACAATTTTATGCGGCTTTTCATCCAAAGGTTCGACTGTTGGCTCGGCTGTCACATCCTGCCGTGCTGGAGCTCTTGCAGAAAAGTAGTCCGTCCTTTCGCGGGTGACAACCAGGCTCCGTTCTCCGGGTTTCACTTTCCTTTCCAACTCAGGACTAATAGGACTTGCTGCCCCGTTTGTGATACGTAACGAGCCCAACTTGAATGCTCCGATGGACTGGTATGACTGGTGGTCTAGCTCCGAAGGCGTCACGACGCGCGGCATGGAATCAGGGTCCATGATCCGCGGAGGCATTGAGATGACGCCACTCCTAATCGAGTCGAAAGATTGCTGCCTCGACATACTCGGGGATGGCGGAACACTATGCCGGAAGTTTGGCCTCGGCGGCGGAGGGCTGGTCAGCGTTCGTGTCCGCGTAGCAACACCGGGTGTTTGTATGATTGACCGCCTCCTCACAGGCGTATATAGTGAGAGGTCTGAATTCGCCCGACTTATGGGCGTACTGGAAGGTTGGGGTATGGTAATTGGTTGTGAGGGGTTGGAGCTCTTCCATGTTGCCTCCGACACCACCGTGTTCCTATCCGACACTGTCGCAGCAAACTCGAATGCCGGTTCTTCAACGAGGTTCAGTAACCTCTTGGCCTCGTATGAGTTCATGTCATAGTTCCATGATGTGCGTCGCGAGCCCATGGAGGACCTAGACGACCAACTACGACAAACATGCTGTCAGTTTCGTACATCAAGATGGCTGTGAGACAGGGGGGCCTTACTTCTCAGCAGCTGGCGCAGCATAGTATGCTATATGGGTAACATCGGCGGTCATGGACTTCGTCCTGTCCACCTTCTCTGCAGCTGGCGGTTTCCGTGGGCTGGGCCCAACACTGGAAGTCCTCCTCGTCGACTTGAAGCTGCTGGCGACCTTCTGATAGGACAGCGACCGGAACAGACTCCGGCGTTGCGACTCCTTCTTCTGAATACCAGGACCCTCGACCATGTCATCGGTGGCTGGAAGCTCGGCAATGTCTGGGGGGGCATCCACCGGAGTGGCAGAAGCAGAAGGTATCGCAACAGGCGAGGATGGCGAGAGAACGGGCTCCAGAGGCAACGCTTTATTACTTAGGATGGGCGAGTTGGAGAAGCGTATGGTGCTAGTGGACAAGCCATTGGGGCTTAACAGGCCAGCTGTAGCAGCAGGGTTGCCTATCCGGGGTTTGGAGAGCTTATGGGTTGATTTTCTCGGAGCAGCAGCCTCAATAGAGGACTGCGAGTTGCCCATGATGGTGGCTC